ATTAATTATTATCTTTATAAAAATTATATTATTAAACCAAATATAAATTACTTTGTTATTGAACCTAAATTAAATTATAATAAAAAAATTGAAATTAAAAAATTACACAAAAAATGAGAAATTTTAAATAGTTAATTTGATACTAATATCAATATATTTTTGTCAAATTCTTATGATGTCTTCAAATTTATATTTATTTAAAAATAAAAACAATATCGTTTTTTCAAAAGCATATAAAACCATATTATAACATCAACCGAGATAAAAAATAAAATAAAATATTAAAATCAAGATATATATCACTAAATTATACGAGTATCCTTCTAATTTATCAAAATAGAAATCAAAACAGTTTGTCCAAATAAAAACAAGCAACCACCACTTTGTTGGATTTAATATTTTTTTTAATTAATTATCAATATAATCTTTTACTTTCTATTTTTAAAATAAATGAAAAAGATAATGCAATATCAAGCAATGTTTACCACTCATGAACATGTTAGAGTATAAAATGATGAAACAATATTTTACATATTTAGTCCCTAAACTAAAGCTAAAAATCATATCCAATCCTTATAGTTTCATGTCATATTCAAAATGACCCATGTAAAGTTGTCTGTATAGGATACCTTTCCACATGACTGATTAAATGATTGTAAATGTCTTAATAATGAAGCACATGTAGCATTGTAGGCTTATGATCAACATCTTAAGAATCCCATTATATTCGTGAAATTTATATGCTTCTTGAAAAATAGATGTAACAGTTTTCTATAACTATGGTTGGTGTGAATGATTAGACTAAATGCTTACCCGGTAAGTGCTTATCGATAAGAGTCAACACTATAATTTATTTTGATGCGTAAGATTTTAGTACATCAAAACATATCGAATGTAACAATTTACTGGGTAAATGTTTACCTGGGTAAAAGTCGTCATCCTCACTTACCGAGTAAGACTCTCCATCCTTCTCATCGCTCTTACCCAGTAAGATTCTTGGCCCTTCTCATGTTCATCCGATGAGGAAATTTATGCATTAAACACTTACCAAGTAAGTGTTTAGTAAATGACTCCTTAGATGAAGAATGAAGAAAAAGAAATACAAATTGGATGAAGCTGGAAAAAAATGGAATACAGATGAGATGAAGCGTGTACATCACGATAACTAATAAATACATGACAAAACTGTACAGAACATGTGTTTTTTATTTACCTTTTTGAACCAAGATTACATTTTTGTATATTTAACTATTTTTATACCAATTAATGTAAGATAAATTTTTGGGCAATGTTTGTTTCATTCTGTTCGACTCAAATTGGAAAATGAAATTGAATGATATAACCTTTCAGATGGTTTAACGGGTAGGAACTTCTTCTTTATTGGTCATCAGTCCAAGTTCCCTTAGAGTCAGTGTAAGTTTGTCTAGCTATTAACTTCAGAATGTCAAAAATAAGTTGATGTACGCTCAGATGATCTGGACACCTACAATAATAATAAAAAAATATTATTTTAAAATAATATCAAGACCCGTTCATTATATCTGATGCCAAAGTGACATATGCATTTGATTTGGTTGGATATGATTTTACAATCTAACATTCATTACAAATGATATTTTCTTGATCTTACAAATAAACAACGTATTTTTTAAGTATTTAAAATAAATACAACATTTACTTTTTTGAAAACTGTTATAATCTGTATTTGCTTTTCAGTAGTTATTATATAATATATTTGAGATTGACTTTAGGTCAAAGAAAAATTCAATTTTCCTTATAAGTTCCAACATAATGTATTTTTTTTATTAATCTGGATATCTAATCCGCTATATGAGCCGACTAATCACAGGACGACCACCTGCTTTGCAGATAGCCCGGAGTCACCGTATTTGAACCTCCGTGGCCACAAGGGGATTTTTATTCCTACTTGGATTTGAACCTCCTGGTATCATTAATGTATTTTAGAATACACTGCATTTTTAATTCCCTTGGTTTGTTGAAAATTGTTATTTTGGTCACTGTATTTTTGAAATTATGATTTTCGTTTCCATCATGGTTTATAATTCATTTTTTTTTGTCTACGTGGTTTACAATTCATTGTTATTTTAGTCGCACATACTTAATTAATGGTAAACCATTAACGAAATTAGTCTCAGAAACGAAAACAACAATGAATGCGAACCATACGAATGAAAACCGTAATCTTAAATGTACAAAGACAAACGTGGTAATTTTTAAAACACTACAATGACAAAAAAAAACATAGTTTACTCTATTTTATTAAAGATACGAATTTGATCAATACATCGTAATTGGTTTCCATGAAGTTTTGTATTATTAATAAAGCTATCTGCCTTAATTAATTTGTCTATATGGACTAAGAGGGTTTTTAGCGTGTTTTTTTAATTGGGAGAGACAATTTTGGAAAAAACTTGGTTTTCTGCATAAATTTTCCCTTCAAATCTTATTAAATAAGCCATTTTCTGTATATTAAGCAACTACCAAACAGTTATGTATAGTTATTTGAATAAGATATGAGTTCCACTAAGCTCATTAAATTGCTAACAAATAAGATAAAATGTGTTTGGTACATTGTACATGACAAGACATAACATAACAAAGATCACTGTTCTATGTTTAACGAGATTTTTTATGTGGAACAGACAGGAATAAAGTAAAACAACGTATTCCACCCCACCCATGAAACAAAGTGGAACAAACTTATATTTTATCAATATAACCTCAAAATAAAACTTATACTCTTTAAACTTTCACTTTACTATCCTTAAAATATTTTTTATACGTTTTCATTTTGATTAATTTATGTAATTTATTAAATGTTAATAACAAAAAATAACATAGAAAATGTATAAAATAAAAATTAAAAACTACATAAACTTTTTATTTTTGTGTCATTTTAATCATCTTGATGAAAACTTTCTAATGATATATTTATTATAAAAAATATTTATTTTATTATAATTTAATAAATTACATAAATTAATTATAATATATAAAATATAAACAACTCATTATGGATAAATTCTCATTTAGGGAACGTTTACCTAAACGGCCTACCCGGTAAGTGCTTAACATTAGGAGTCAACACTATAATTTATTTTATTGAAAAAGATTGTAGTACATCAAAACGTATCATATGCAACAATTTACCTGGTAAGCGCTTACTCGGGTAAGAGTCGTCACCCTCACTTATCAGATAAGACTCTCCATCCTTATAATTGCTCTTATCGTGTAATATTTTTAGCCCTTGTCATATTCATCCGGTGAAGAAAATTACTTAATAAATAGTTACCAGATAAACGTTTAATAAACGGTCCCTTAATCTATGATGTTATTTCATGTACACTTCTATCGTGTCAAATGTTAAACAGATGTGTCATGTTTTGTTCTAAAACAATGGACGAAATGTTACAAGGTATGAATATGACTTTTGAGATAAGTTGAGGGACGATTCTTGCCATTTCTTGTAATAAAGAGGTGCAGGACCGCAGACGCATATATGCGGACAACTGTATCATCCATGGTGTCCACATTATTTTTGCAATGAAAGCTTTCATCCCCTCCTCTTTTCTCTTTCTTGAAAAAATTCCATAAATTTTCTCTCTCTCTCTCTCCCTTTTCCAATCTTTCCCTTCATCACCGCCGTTGAATCTCTCTCATAAAAGCTTTATTTTGCCCCCAATCACCCGTTTCCTGCAAAAGGACTTGCAATTTTCATCGTCTCCATCATCAAAACCCTAATCACCCTGTTCATATAATCAAAGTTTTTGTGAAAACCCAGTTCTGATTCTCGATTTCTGGTTCGAAAATGGTGAAACCCTTTCTGGGTTTAGAAATTCGGGCTCGATTTCTCTTGCTCATCGTGTATCTCCTCTTTCTTGGTGTAATTTATGTTGACTCTCAGTCGAGCTCTGATGATGCTGCTGTAATGCAAGCTTTGAAAGCTAATCTCGGTCCACCGGAATCACTCGATTGGTCCGACCCGAATCCATGTAAATGGGCTCATGTTCAATGCACCAGAGACAACCGGGTCAACCGGATCCAAGCCGGAAACCAGAACCTCAAAGGTTCTCTTCCTCAGACACTCAACAAGCTCACTGAACTCCAAGTTCTTGAGTTCCAAAACAATCAACTCAGTGGGCCACTCCCGAGTCTCTCTGGGTTGACTCAGCTCCAGAACATTCTACTCAATAATAACAATTTCTCTTCAATTCCCTCCGATTTCTTCGATGGTATGTCTTCTTTGCAACATGTTTATCTGGATTACAACCATTTTACTGCATGGTCTATTCCGGACAGTGTAAAATCCGCATCCACTTTGCAAACTTTCTCGGCGACATCCGCCAATATCACCGGAAACATCCCGGATTTCTTCGGCGGCGATACCTTTGCAGGGTTAACCACTTTGCATTTATCTTACAATTTTCTCGAGGGCGGATTACCCACTTCGTTTTCGGGTTCTTCCATCCAGAGTCTTTGGTTAAATGGGCAGAGCAGTAGGTCTAAACTAAATGGAACTCTTGCTGTTCTTCAGAACATGACTCAATTGACCGAAGCTTGGCTTCAATCCAACCTGTTTTCCGGCCCTTTACCGGACTTTTCAGGCTTAAACGAGCTGCAGAATTTGAGTGTAAGAGATAACAGCCTAACGGGCCCTGTTCCACCATCTTTGATAGCTTTACAATCTTTAAAGGTTGTGAATTTAAGCAATAATCTGTTACAGGGGTCTCCACCAAAATTCGATAAATCTGTGGCTGTTGATATGAATGGGGGGAATAGTTTTTGTTCATCGAATCCTGGGGATGCTTGTGACCCCCGTGTTAATTCGTTGCTTGCAGTCGCAGAATCTGTAGGTTACCCGCATATTTTTGCTGATAATTGGAAGGATAACAATCCGTGTAAGCCGTGGTTGGGGATTACATGTTCGCCTGCTGGCAATATTACTGTTATAAATTTCAAGAATATGGGTCTAACGGGTACAATTTCCCCCAAATTTTCCTCCATTAACTCGCTTCAAAGATTGATTCTTGCTGGCAATAATCTCAGTGGAACCATACCTGAACAACTTAAAGATTTGCCTAATTTAATCGAGATAGATGTTTCAAACAATCATCTTTATGGTCCAATTCCAAGTTTTAGGGGAACTGTTAAGGTGGAAACTGAAGGGAATCTTGATATCGGAAAAGATGGTCCTAGTCTGACTCCGGTTTCACCTTCTGGCGGTGCACCTGGCGATCGAACTGGGCCTAATCGCGGTGGTGGTGGCGGTGGCAAGAGTTCAAATACTGGGGTGGTTGTGGGATCTGTTGTTGGCGGTGTTTGTGCCGTGTTCTTTGCCGGTTTGCTTGGTGTTTGTGTCTACAAGGCTAAACGAAAGCGTTCTAGCGGTATCCCGTATCAGAACACGATGGTGATTCATCCCCGCCATTCAGCATCTGACGGCGATGGTGTCAAGATCACGATCGCTGGTTCCAGTGCAAACGGCGGGCCCACGAGTGAAACCTACAGTCACACAAGTAGTGGACCTAGCGATATTCACATTGTTGAAGCGGGCAATATGGTAATTTCGATCCAAGTTCTCAAAAACGTTACGAACAATTTCAGCCCTGATAACGTTCTTGGAAGAGGAGGATTCGGGACCGTTTACAAAGGGGAATTACACGATGGAACCAAGATCGCAGTCAAAAGGATGGAGTCTGGAGTCATGAGCGAAAAGGGGCTTGACGAGTTCAAATCGGAAATTGCGGTTCTTACAAAGGTCCGGCATCGGCATTTGGTGGCACTTCTCGGATACTGTTTGGATGGTAACGAAAGGCTTCTTGTTTACGAGTATATGCCTCAAGGGACACTTAGCCGGTTCTTGTTTAATTGGCAAGAAGAAGGTTTGAAACCGCTTGAATGGACGAAAAGATTAATAATTGCGTTAGATGTTGCTCGAGGTGTTGAGTATTTGCACGGTCTAGCACAACAAAGTTTTATTCACCGAGATCTTAAACCGTCCAATATTCTTCTTGGCGATGATATGCGGGCGAAAGTTGCGGACTTTGGGCTCGTTCGGCTCGCCCCAGATGGGAAAGTTTCACTCGTCACAAGATTAGCTGGAACTTTCGGGTATCTTGCGCCCGAATACGCAGGTAATCTTCTTTCTTGGTTCGTATTTTGATTTTAAGATATTGTTCGTAAGCTGAATAGTTTACATATGATTCTAGTGACGGGCCGAGTAACGACCAAGATAGACGTGTTCAGCTTCGGGGTAATCCTAATGGAGCTCATAACGGGCCGAAGAGCACTTGACGAAACGCAGCAAGAAGAAAGTGTCCACTTGGTGCAATGGTTCCGCCGAATGCACATAAACAAAGACACATTCAGAAAAGCCATCGACCCTACCCTTGACCTCGATGAAGAAGCTCTAGCAAGCGTTAGCACGGTTGCTGAACTAGCCGGCCACTGCTGTGCCCGCGAACCGCACCAGCGACCTGACATGAGCCACGCGGTCAACGTTCTCTCGTCCCTAGCCGAGCTCTGGAAGCCGTCCGAGCCAGACCCCGATGACATTTACGGAATTGACCTCGATATGACGTTACCGCAAGCGGTCAAGAAGTGGCAGGCGTTGGAAGGAATGAGCGGCTACGATAATTCGTCGGTTATTGGAAGCAACGATAATACACAAACGAGCATACCGACTCGACCTTCAGGGTTTGCGGATTCGTTCACTTCACTAGATGGGCGGTGAGGCTCTAAAAAGGGGCTCGGGCTCAGGCTCGGGCTCGGGCTGTTGTTGTTTTGGAAATCATAATCAGGATTGGTTTGTTCATTCTTTCTGATGCTTGTTTATCTGCTGTTTTTGTTAAATTGTCAGAGATGGTTTTGTTCTTGTATTTTGGATAGTTCTTTGCTGCTTTGAACTTTGAAAATGCAAAAAGATAGGAAAGTTCTTGCATTGATGGTTGTACCCTCTGCATAAAATGTCATACCAGTAGATTAACTGGTAAGATATTAAGTTTGGGGTTGTTTGGCAGATGCTGAATGGTTTGATGCAAAATGATTAAGTGGTTGAAATGATTAGGAGACTTTTATGATATAATGTAAAATGAAATATAACTTCAGTGTCCCGTAAGACTAGTTATATTGTTAGCTTAATAAGTAGCTTAACGGGTAAGATCTTAAATTTGCTTTGCAAAAGTCTTATGAGATCAGTCAAATCGGTCTGGTTAGAGTTTGACCATAAAAAAAGTCCACCTTCCATGGTCAACAGGAACATGCAACATTGCTTGGAAGTTCAAGCTATAGAGGATGCTTAAGGGTAGGGTTGTAATTTTATATTCAATATCTTGGAGTTGGAGGTGGGGCTGGATTTGGTGACTGTTAGCATGCTTAAGTTACTATAATGTTTTAATTAGTAATTAATGATTAATAAATGCTAATGGTAGCCACGTCATTCAGCAGTAGCGTCTTAATCAGTATTATTTTAGGTGTAAATGGTCAACTATACCCTTTAAAATTCATATATCTGTACGTGACCAGCATATCCCCCATTCCTACTCCTATGTGTTTGATCCCAAAATTCCGATGACTACCCCCGGGAATTACGGGATTTTTTTTTTCATTTTTTTAATTAAAAGTAATTTAAATATTAATATATGCCCAACTCATTTCCATCTTAATAATTAATTATTACGATTAAAAAAACGATATAATTATATATTTAATCCTTTTATCTGTAGGTGACAAAAATAAACAGGTGTCGGAGTGGGCGAATTTTTATTTTCTTTATTTATGAAGGGTAAAGTGCGATTTTGGTCCCTATGGTTAATATTGAACTACAAATAAGGTCCTTCAATTTTAATGAGTGTTATATAATAATAGTCCATGTGGTTAAATTTTAATGAGTATCATAATGGTAATTGTGGTTTACATTTTGTTATGGGAAAGATCCGTGTTTCTAACATTGATACTCAAGGTCCCGTTAAGTAAGGGCATTTTGGTCTTTACATCTGTTTATTTATCTTTCTTTTAAAAAAAATCGTATTATATTATTTATTTTATATCAAGTTATTATCTAAAATTGTATATTATCTCACCTATGTCTCCCTTTCTCGCTTTTTTCATGCCAGTGAACCAACTATACCAACAATCAATCTCCCCTAATAGTCTCTGTAGCCACTTACTTATCTGTCGTTGTTCTCAATGGTTTCACTCTCCTACATCACCCTTTCCCAAAGTTCGGTGTCTAAACCCAAAACCAGTGTAGGTGCACAAAACATGGAAGGATTTTGTCTCGAGGTGTGTGTTTATGTGCGTTTGTTTCGTCAAGGAGCTTATCCCTATGATTGTCGATGGGTACAAAGGGGATTGTAAAGGATTTTGTCTCCCTTCTCCTTCCTTGTTATTGATTTGTACGTAGGTGATTGTCAGTGGGAATAGAGTGGTTGTGATTTGTTACAAGAGTGAAATGGAGGAATCTCCTATCTCATTTGTCGTACACAATGGACTACCCGCCTCATAACTCGAAGATCCCACCTTGCAGTTTCCTTTATTGCAACCGATGTTTCTTGATCATATTGTAAGAAGGCTTGGATTAAAGACATGCCCTTTGGGATTTCTTCAAGAAATGTGAACCTCTCTTTCTATCAATTGTCTGGTATACAATCCATTAAGTCAAACCATCTCATTCTACCATCAAGATTCATTTCCTTATGTTCCAACGACGACACGTGCAACTCTGAAACCCATTGGTTTCTTCTCACCATCAGCTCTAGTAACCATCTCCATGTAGAAGGATGAAAAGACGGACATCAATAGTGTACCAAGGGTAAAGATTATGAAGGGTTGTCACTTGTTTAGGGTGTCACTCGTCTCCCCTATAAGACTCACATAGGTCTGTAGGTAATTTATGTTGAAGCATGGAACCCTGGTAGAGTTTTGTTCTTACCAGGGTGGATGGAGATGGTGGCCGGAGAGCGTTACTAGAGACACGCCAATCATCGTGTGTATGTGAGCGTGACTGTGTGTTTTTGTGTGTCAGTATATATGTCCATATATAACTATAATTAAAATATAGTATTGTATAATATGTATCAACTAAAAGGGTAAAGACAAAAAAAGTAAAAAGACAAAAAAGGTAAAAAGACAAAAATGCTCCCACTTATATTGAAAAAATAGGACAGGGAGGACATAACAGAACTCATTGTTCCATGTTTTGACGCAATATGGGGTAGAATAAAAACTTATTATTCCACATTTGGCATTAAACACAGACTAGCTGAGATCGGATGGGACAAAAATGTTTTTTTTTTCACGAAAATAGGTGGAACAAGATGAGACATGAGTGACAAAACTAAATTTTTTTTTATCAATTTACCATCCTCATTCACTACAACGACCTCTTCCACCACCTTTTCAACCGTTGTCGGCCATTGACCACCACCACCACCACCACCACCAGAGGCGGACCGCTTAGTGGGCTTATAGGGGCCCTGGCCCCTGTGATTTTTTTCCCTCTTAGCATACAACAGTGTATCCATTAGCTTGCTCAATTCAAAAAATTTCAACCGGCCTCCCCCTTCCAAATCCATTCCCGAGAGGCGACAGACAGCGACTAGGCGAGAGCTGCAGCCTGTGTGACTCACGACTGGACGAGGAGGGCGATTGGGCTATCATCGTTAGCGACTTAGGCGGAGGCGGAGGCGAGCAGCGCAGGCGCAGGCGGAGGCGAGCAGGGCAGGCGAGGCGGAGGCGGAGGCGAGGTCTGCAGGCGGAGGCGGCGGCCAGCACGGTAACTCCCGATCCCGAGCCGTAGGTAAGTCCGTCCTTCTCACTTCTGAGTTCTGCACTTTTGCTAGTTTGCTACTGTTTTACAGCCTACCACACAGCACACTACCTTTTGTTTTGAAATCAAAACCCAAAAGTGGTGATTTACATTACAGTTTACTGATTTAGCATTTTGGTAGGTGATTATTAGGGCTAAATTTACTGAAATTGGTTATATGGTGATTTACTGATTTAGGTGTATTCAGGGGTGTATTGGTGATTTAGGTGATTTACTGATTTAGGTGTATTAGGTGATTTAGGTGTATTATACTATCTAACACAGTAACACTAAAACTGTTAGGTGATTTAGGTGATTTA